AGTATCTTGGCTAAGACCACAAACCATATTCAGGGTTGAAGAGGACACAAATTTAGATCCCCAAAGCCAGTGTTTTTCAACCTTGATAATATTAGGACCCTCAAGGAAAGAAAACTTCCTGAGGATTCTGAGAACATGTAGACATTATTAAACATTAAATGAGAAGTTTAATCTTTAAATATATTTTTCACATGTGAGTTATTGCTATAAAAAGTTCACCTTTATGGATAATAAAGTGACTATTAAAAATTGATTACTGAAACAAAAGCAAAAAGTTAGAGATATTCCAGCACTTGCAATCCCTGAGAATCCTTGGATTCTAATTGAGAAATACTATTCTAGACTCATTCTGCAATGTTAGATTCTTTCATGTTTATATCCAAAACATACAAACAACCAAGTACCCAGCACAAAGTAGATATAAATAAGAGTTTTTGGAATAGATGCTTCCTTGTGGCACTCACAAGGAAGTGTTCTCCTTCCAGAACAACCTGTTGAAGTTAGTAATAAATGGATGACGACTCTATTAGCTAGTCACCTGGATAACAAATGTGATGAGTTAGCATTTCACTAGCCTAACTGAACTCTGTACAGATAGTCCCATAAGACACTAAAAAAAAAGGAGAAAATAAAAGCTCCAATATATTTCTAACAGGTTGAAGTAAAAGTTCATCATCTTCAGTAAGTGTAAATATCATTCTCTCCTCAATACATTCACTCTCCGATTCCCAAACCACCCATATCTCCACTAACTGTAGACTTTAAGTGATTATCCAAAAGTCACGTTCTCATAATCCAGGATAGTTAATCACTACCCAAGATGAAACTGCCTGTATCAGGATGAGGAAATAGGTGTGGTATGTCACACACTGTGTATGTACTGGTTTGATCATGACTCTATGTCCCCAGTTGCAGAGAAAGAAACAGGTCAAAAGCTGAATGTAAATGATTTCCCCAAGAACACAGTCAAGTAGGGCTTTCAGCCCAAAGGTAAGAACAGAGTAAAATGGCAGAATTGGCCCCACAACCACTTGTTATATTCCACTGCAAAGTAGCCTCATTTTATGTCCCCTAATTGCACCTCTCATCATAGGACCACTGCTATTTAAGGACTGCTCTCTGGTTTCTGTGGTTAAAGTACCTTAAAGTCCTACTTCGAAGTATAAGTTGAATTGCCAGAAAAATAACTAAGAGGGGTTATCAGTCTTCTGACCCAACTTTGCCAAGCAGATGAGAAGCTTAGAGGCACTACTGAACAATATTGGAAATTCATTTTCCAAACTTTCAAATTATTCACCCTGCACCAGTTCCCCCAGGAGAACGTCCAACACTTAAACAAAGGGGAGGCCGGGGGTAACTTGAGCCAAAATGAGGGTGGTGGTGGCTGCAGAATTTCTAGCACATCAAACAAAGAATCTTGCTTAAAGCTGAAGTATTTAAAATAGAAGTAGTCCAAATGGAAAGTTCAGACTAAAAAAAATAATCTACATAAAGAAAACAAGCCATTTCTCTCCTTGCTATTAAGGAGAAAATGAAATAATAACATGGCTTCAAACCATTCCTGGAGACCAGGTATTTCCACTTGTTCTACTGTTTAATCTGTCGCAGTAAGAAAGCACTTCACAGCCATACCCTCTTCTTTAGCAATCTTATTTTCCTAGCACTCCCTTCTAATGGATTTCTGCACAACAAATTCATCAAGACATTTTAACACAGGTTTCCTTTCATGTGGTGAGATGGAGAGACCCTTAAGAAAGGAGAATGGCCAGGAAGCAAATAGATTTAGGCTAGAACAAGCAAAAGGCAAAGGACTAGGAAGAAATTCAGGAGACCGGGATGTGGCATCACCCATCAACAGCCAACCACAGAGGCTGGCCGTGAGCTCAATGAGGAAGGGCAGCAGCAACACCATACTATCCTTCCCATGTGCCAGGTTTTATGTTAACCTCAGTCTATAAACCCATGATCACATTTAATCTTCATGATAACATATGAACAGGTCTTCTTATTATAATGCCTATGTTACGGTTTGGATCAATAATGTTCCCCAAAAGCTCATGTGTTCAAAGCTTGATTTCTAATGCAGCAATGTTCAGAGGTGGGACTGTGGGGAAGCCCCATGGACCCTTCATGAATCATGAAGGGTCTGACCTCATCAGGGCATTAATCCATTGATAGCTGAATGGACTGGTGGTAGGTGGTGGAAACTGTAGGTAGATGGAGCATGTATATATAGAGTAAGTAGGTCACTAGGGGCATGCCCTTGGAGACAATATCTTGTCCCTGGGACCCACCCCATCTCCACTTCCCAGCCTCCATGAGCTGAGCAGCCTTCCTCTGCCACACCCTTCCTCTGTGATGTTCTGCCTCACCTCAAGCCCAAAGCAATGAAGCCAGACAACCATGAGCTGAACCCTTGAAATGATGAGCCAAAATAAATCTTTCTTCCTTTAAGTTATTATTGTCAGGTATTTTGGTCACAGCAATGAAATGCTGACTAACACAACCTATTTCACCTATCAGGAAACTGAGGCTTAGGAACATTCCATGCTTGCTTGTGCCCAGACAGCTTGTAAGTGGAAAGCAGGATAAAATTAAGCCTTAATCTGTCTGAACATTATTCATATGCTTAGTCAATAACCTATGCTCTCTAACAGAAAATTCATCTAACCCTTAGTGGCATGGACTAATTTAAGGAGTGCATAAATCCTTTGAAACTGTATAGGAAATAATCATATGTAGTCTTGCTTTTCAGGAGAAAGCTTTTGTAGCCTTTCTCAGAGTCTCATATGGTTTTTATGGTCCAAAATGAGTCTGCAGTTCCTCCCAGCTTCTCCCTAAGCTGTATGATTTGCACTGGCAGTTAATACCTCTGAATCTTCAGTGCAGTTCCCCAGCTCTCTTCCATCTTCAAAATGTAATGATTGTGTTATCCTAAATGTCTCAAAGAATATTTTAAAAATTTGTGATAAACTTTCCTACTGCCTTGCATGACCCCTACCCTTCCCACCCTGAATTTCCAACTTTCCATGCTGGCCCCTACTACCTCACCGCTTTTATCACTCCCACGATCTAACAAAATAGCTAGAATTGCCATGCGCGCTCTTCATAGCCTCTCCAACTCTGGTTATATGATGCATGCAGCATGAGTCAGGCTGGGGGGAGAGGGCCTCTTCTTAAAGTTTATATGTAACTGTGAGAGCATTCAAGCATGTGCTGGCATGCCAGCCCGAGAGAGAGAGAGAGAGAGAGAGAGAGAGAGAGAGAGAAAGGAATAAAAAGCTGTTAGCAGTAAATACTAAAATGTTTTTAAGAGACATCAGAGTCCTTGAGAGTGGTGTGTGGAATAGGCTAGGGAAGGGATGCTCAGAGGGCAGTGGGGGGCATTATCTCCCCAACCACTTCTCCACCTTATGTTTCTGCTACAGAAAGTTTCTCCAGCTTCATTCCCCTCTCAAGTTGAAAGCTCCAGTTGAAATTCCTTACTTGGAAGGTCACTTATTCTCTCATAGCCAAAAAGCCTGTTTGCTTTTGTCTTCCCACTTGCTTTCAAATGAAAATATCAGATCACAGACCATCTTGCTTCCCTGGTTCAAAAATTAATTACATCATGTCCAGAAGTGAAGGTTGTTGAAAGTTATTAATGTATTTGCTGGGAACACTCTGCATTCCGAATGCTTTTACATGAATGCACAGATGCGTTCATGTTCTCCACCTGGTCCCATCAGCCATTCTGGATGGCGGGGGCCAAAACCATGGTCACATTGTCCATTTCAGTCCCTCACTGTGCTCATTCAAAAGCACACTGTCAAGTGCATTTTTATTATCGTAAAGTGTATCTATTTATTTCTCATTCTTTGTTGACATCTCCCAGAAGCTTTTAGAATACGACTTCTTAACCTGCCAATTCCGACCATTTCTGTCTATCAACCATTATTTCTACTGCCTTGTGTTTCTAATAGACCTTGAAATTAGCACTGTGCTTTGTTGTGGGCAGCATTCTTACCAGTGGTGGCTCATCAGCTGGGTGACTAGTCAGAGTCATATGTGACCTGAGTATCCACCCTTGCCACTCTGGGCAGAGGTCCGGCCCTGGGCTTGGCAATCCCATGTGTCACCACACTGCCACTTTGGAAAGATAAAATAAAGTCCCAATTATTGGGATAGGGCTCTGCAGATTTAGGGGTAATGGTGTGAGCTGAAGCACTTTTAGGTAACTTTTTAGAAATATAGATTAGGCAGCAGTTTGCATCCATAATCCCTCAATATTTAGGATGAGGCAGAAACAAAGAGGCATGGGTCAATGATTATTCAGGATTCTGTTCTTCTACCTAGAGCCCACCCATTACAGAGGGGGCAAGCTTAGGAATGAGGCTTTGGGGAGGTTAGTTCTCCAGCAGAAGATAAGGACCACAGAGTTGACATAGCATTACAGAATAAAAATTTTCAACTTGGTCCTTCACTACGGACTGGGCACTTTAGAGAGGTAAAATTCTCATAGGCATAGAGAAGACCAGGAGGGGGTATTGCCTAAGTGTCATGAGGAGTCATTGTAGTCAGAGGAACTGAACTGTGGTGATAATGGGGTGGAGTTTGACTTTAGGGACAGAAGGGCCTGGTCTGACCTCCAGTGAATGATTTAACTGCCACACATGGCCTGGCACCACTTCCATCCTCCACAGACTTTCATCATGGACCTTTTCAAAGATATTTTTGGTGGTCCAGGCATGACTCTCTTCTTGAGATTCTTCTAACACTCCATGTGTTTCTGTGGCTATCGCTGCCCAGCACACTACCCTTGTCTATTTACTTCATTGCACTTTTCTGTGTATACCTGCAGTATTTTCCCTGCAATCTTTTCAGTGGATTCCAAGCCTGATAAAGGCAAGACCTTTGCCCATTTTTTATGTACCATTGTATCCCCAGCACCTGCCTCCAGTCAGAATTTAAGAAATGGTTGTTAATTAAGCACATAAAATAGAGATAATAATAGTACCTACCTCAAGTGCTTTTGCAAGACTTAAATAATGTAGCACATGTAAAGTCCTCAGAATATCACCTGGAACGTAATATTTAAAACATTAGTTCATAGCATGTGGCCCTGTCTTTGTATTGAGGAGTTACCTGAATTACCTGAACTTGCATGTAGGTGCATACTTTTTCCTGGGAGGAGGGTCCTCCATAGTCTTCAGATCCTCAAATGAAGATCATTACTCCACACACTAAAGAAATTAGAATAATTGCTATAAAGGTTGATTCTCTTAGACTAGAGAGAATATTAAACCAGAGAGAACACAAGAGCCTATCTTACTTAAGATTTTTGGGAATCAACATATTCTAATTCTCAACCAGACTTAATTGCTTTAATGATCACCTAATCATAGATGCCTGAATCAGAAACCAGTGGACATGGTCTCTTACCTGAGTCCTTTCGCTCTGATTGTGATTAATTCATCTACTCTCTTTTTATATAAATTTTTCTGCCCAGGATCAAGCAGAGCTAATACAAAAAAGAAAAACTTTGTTAAAACTCCAAAAATATAAAATATGAAATGTATGAAAAATAAAGGGTCTGTAAATCAGAAGATATCTTGCTCAGAGCATTCTTTTTTCTACTTTGTAAAATAAGGGAGTTAAATTAGATGACATTTAAGATTATTTTCTAACTGCTCACCATAATCCAAAGATTTGAAATATAAATAGCCTCTGTTCTGGGGATTTATTTCCCATTTGAATCATCACAGAACTATCTTACTTTCTTGCCCATATCAAGGACACTATTTTTACTGACTTGTTTGTAAAAGCGGGATAGCGGCAATATCTTGATCCATCCGGGCTGCCATAACAAAACATCTTAAACTGGGTAATGTATAAGCAATAAAAAATTATACCTTATAGTTCTGGAGGCTGGGAGTTCTGAGATGAAGGTGCCAGTAGATTCAGAGTCTGGTGAAAACTCTGCTTCAGAGATGATGCCTTGTAGCTGTATCATTAGAACATAGAAAAAGAGTAAGGCAGCTTTCTTAGGCCCCTGTTATAAAGACACTAAACCTATTCATTAGGGTAAGCCATATGACATGATCACTTCCCAAAGACCTCACCTCTTAATACTATCTCATCATATATTAGGTTCCAACATATGGATTGGAGCAGGGAATGGGATCAGACCATAACAGTTAAGCAATTAAAAGGTATACTCTCCTCTTGATGATTCTGAATGCATATATTTGTCATTGTGGTAGACTTATTAGACTTGAACTAAGTTAGGGTAGCCAGAGAAATATAAGACTTGGTGAAGCCAAAGGCACCAAAATTCCAGCTTCAAATGTCTTCTCCATTCAGCCCAATGGGCCACCAATAGGAGGTAGATGTAATTCCTCTCTGGAGTAGGAATTCTATGCCTTCCTCACCCATTTCTTATGAATCTTTTTATTTCTTTGTTTTTGTGGTGCTGGCTAGGAAACATAGGGCTTCATGAATGCTAGGCAAGACCTCTATCACTGAGCTATATCCTTAGCCTATCCCTGCCCATGAATATTTAAGTTTTGCACAGCGTTAGCAATTTCTTTTATTGAAGAGAAGGTCTGCCTCAGACATGTGAGTTTGGCTATGAAACACAGGGCTTCATTCGTGCTAGGCAACCACTCTATCACTGAACTACATCCTCAGTCCTACCCCTACCCATTTAATATTTAAGTTTTACACAGCTTCAGCAATCTCCTTAGTTGAAGTGAAGGTCTAGCTCAGAAATGTAAGTTTGGAAAGAGGACAAGAAGAGCCAAGTGGATGGTATTAACTTTCAATAAAAGGACACTCAGGAAACTATTTCACATAGGAAATTAAAAGTTTGAATAGCAGAAGATAGAGAACATGACTCTACTGGTCCACTGGCCATTAAGGGATCTAATAATTGAATGAAATCAGAAATCTATAAGGTGGGCCAGGTTTCTAGAAAACCATCTCTATGGATCAGACATGGAGAGCTGTGTGGAAGGTTTGAAAACTTAAGCTCACTCTGGCCAGCTGGGGCTTCCAAATAGAATCCAGACTAATGAATCTAGTCACATCCAGATTCATTTCTATAGTTCTGCTCATTATCACTTCATTCAGATCCTTATTTGAAGCCCATTATTTGAGGGCATATGGATAAATCTATTATCATCTCAGATAATGACATACCCAACTTCCTGGCTGTGAAGATAATTTTCTTCATTCTACTCTGATTGATTTCTCTAGAATATCTTCTCTGACAGTCCCTTTCCTCAGTGAAGAAGATTCTACTCTGATACATAGTTGGGCCTGCAGTGCAAGGAAATTGTATTGTCTATAACTCAGTCTCGCTGACCTGGTTTCTATAAATAGATAAATTCATCAAGGAAAAACACAGGATCAAAATCTAAAAGCCATCTCATGAAATTATTCGTTTCAGACTTTTGCCTCAGGTCAAATTAAAATTTCAACCATTCCTAAAACCCATGTCTGCCTGTATTTTTAAGATAGATATTTAGATTAAATAAGCTTCCTGGATAACTTCTAATATAGGGTCCATTTTTCTGTCATATATATTCTTATTTATGATGGTGGTAGCATAGATGAGAACTGGATAAATCTTCCAGACTGCAGTGAATGTCATTATACAAATGACAACACTGAAGACTAGAGAAAAAAATAGATGACTTTCCTGAGGTAACATATATTCATTTATTCTTCCATTTATTCATTCATTTCAACATTCACTCAAAAATATTTATTGACTGCCTACTCTATCTAGTCACATTTGTAGATACAGCAATATATCAGGATATTAGTTTTTAGGGCTGCCATAACAAAGTACCACAAACTGAGTGGCTTAGACAACAGAAATATATTGTCTCACTTCTGAAGGCCAGAAGCCTGAGATCAAAGTGTCAGGAGGGTTGACTTCTTCAGAGAGCTGTGAGGGACAATCTGTTCCATGTCTTTGCCCCTAGGTTTATCTATCAGTCCCTAGTCTTTTCCCCTCCTTATCAAAGATTGATTTCAATAATTATTTTTTAGCATCTACTATATTCTTTTTTTTAACTTATTCTGATTTGTTATATATGATGGCAGAATGCAATTCATTTCATATTATACATATAGAGCACAATTTTTCAAGATACTGATTGTACACAAAGTATTTTCAGACCATTGTGTCTTATACATGTACTTTGGGTAATGATGTCTAACTCATTCTACCATCATTCCTGCCCACTCTCTCCCCTTTGTCCTTTCCCCTCTCTCCCAAATTCCTCCATTCCTCCCATGCTCCCCCTGTCCAATTGCTATTGTGCATCTGCACCCTCATATCAAATAAAACATTCAGCCTTTGGTTTTTTGGGATTGGCTTGCTTCACTTGGCATTATAGTCTCCAACTTCACCCATTTACCTGCAAATGCCATGATTTTATTCTCTTTTATTGCTGAGTAATGTTCCATTGTGTATATATACCAAAGTTTCCCTAACCGTTCATCTACTGAAGGGCATCTAGGATGGTTCCATGATTTAGCTATTGTGAATTGTGCTGTTATAAATATTGATATGGCTGTGTCCCTGTAGTATGCTGTTTTTAAGTCCTTTGGGTATAAACCGAGGAGTGGAATAGCTGGGTCAAATGCTGGTTCCATTCCCAGTTTTCCAAGGAATCTCCATACTGCTTTCCAGATTAGCTACACCAATTTACAGTCCCATCAGCAATACGTAAGTGTGTCTTTTCCCCCCGCATCCTTACCAACACTTATTGTTGTTTGTATTCTTAATAGCTGTCATTCTGACTAGAGTGAGATGAAATATTAGAGTAGTTTTGATTTGTGTTTCTCTAATTGCTAGAAATGTTGAAGATTTTTTTCATGATTTGAAAACAGACCTGTAGACCAATGGTACAGAATAGAGGACACAGAGTCTAACCCACATAACTTCAGTTATATTATTGTATTATTCAGTTATCTTATATTAGACAAAGTTGCCAAAAACATACATTGAAGAAAAGATAGCCTCTTCAACAAATGGTGCTAGGAAAACTGGAAATCCACACGTAACAAAATGAAATTAAATTTCTCTCACCATGCACAAAACTCAACTCCAAGTGGATCAAGGATCTAGGAATTAAACTAGAGACCTTGTACCTAATGGAAGAGAAAGTAGGCCCAAATCTCCATCATGTCAGATTAGGCCCCAAGTTTCTTAATAAAACTCCTGTAGTGCAAGAATTAAAACCAAGAATCAATAAATGGGATGGATTCAAACTAAAAAGCTTCTTCTCAGCAAAAGAAACAATCAGGGAGGTGAATAGAGAGCCTACAGAATGAGAGCGAATCTTTACCACAAGCACTTCAGATAGAGCATTAATCTCTAGGATATATACTTAAAAAAAAACTTAACACTAAAAAAATAAATAACCCAATCAATAAATGGGTCAAGGAACTGAACAGACACTTCTTGGAAGAGGATATACAATAAATCAACAAACATCTACTATATTCTAAGTAGTTCTTAGAAATAAGTAAAAATCAAAATCAGAATCATCCTTGTATTATTTGGAGAAAGCTTTGAAACTATCACATAATATTATATTGGACAAGTCATAAAAACTCATTATAGGGCTGATGATGTGGCTCAAGTGGTAGCGCACTCGCCTGGCATGCGTGTGGCCCGGGTTCAATCCTCAGCACCACATACAAACAAAGATGTTGTGTCGGCCGAAAACAAAAAAATAAATAAATATTTAAAAAAACTCATTATAATTTCACCTTTCAACTGACTTCTAAGCGATGGAAAGACCATCTAGCCTCTGTGAGAATTCTCCCATGATGGGACATTGAAACTTCACAAGGCTCATTTCATTGGGAAATGCTCATTTGGAGCTGTCTTGCATGTTAAGCTCAAATCTGACTTTCTGACATATCTGTTAGACCTAGATCAACCCATAACAAATACTTTTCCTCTTCCTAGTGATAATTCTTAAAAATTTGAAGATTAGAAAATTCTATTCATTTCTTCATTGTCTTTTACAATCATATGCAGCCCATGATCTTTTAGTAGTTACCTGCCTCTCTGTATTCTCTACCTAGTCCAAGTTCTTACTAAATGCTGAGCCCAGGGAATATGGGTCCCATGTGTGAACTGTTCTAAGTGGGAGCACTGATTAATGTGATATAGATACTATACTTCTATTAATCCAGCTAAGTATTAAATTAGCATTATTAGTAATCATAATGCAATGTTGGCTTATGTTAAATGTCCAAATAAATATACTTTCTTCTCAAGGTTGTACTTTATGTTCATCATCTTCACATTTCATCTTACTGGTTTTGATCTTGCAATTGCATGTCTTGATATTTTTCCTAATCATGACTCCATATCCATGGCAGTGTGACAGAAAACAGAAGTCCTCAGATTATTCACTGTATGACTCTCATTGGGTCACCTGATTTCCCTGAACCTCAGTTCTGCTCACTGTGAAAAAAAAAAAAAAAACAAAGTGGGGGGTTGGGATTTAGTAATAAGTCTTCTCTGGACACTTGTGAGACTTCGATGTGACAAACTGGGTAGAAGTATTCTGTAAAATGGGAAACATGATGCAAATGTTAGTTCCTAGCAGTTATGGGATTTGTTTTTCTTCTTGATTTTTTTTTTAACTGCAGAGGTGATAAGAATGTTTTCTACGTTTTTGGCCAATTAATTCATTCGAGTGCCAAGCACATTAAGACCAAAGTATAACTCAGCATGCTTTAGGTTTGTTTATAACCTGTTGTGACTCTAGATAAAGTATAGTGACCCAACCTGTATATCCTTAGCTCGCCTAGGCCGCAAAGACCTCGTAAGCCTGGCAGTGTGTCAACATACTATGATGCCATAGTTACCATCAATAGCTTTGAGGCAAGTTTGGCTTCAACTCCAGCTCAGTCCTTTGCATAAATTACTTGATCTCCCTGATCTCCTGTTTCTTATCTTTAA